GAGGCTGTGGTGGCCTGGAGCAGCCACTGCACTCCAGTCTGGGCGACAGAGTGAGACTCCAACTCAAAAAAAAAAAAAAAAGAAAGTAGTCTGACCTTTTCTTTGGTTGCTTTTAATCTTTAGTATTCTGTGCTTTTACTATGATGTGCCTCTGTGGATATTTACAATTTTATTCTGCTTGAGATTTGATGGGAATCATGATAGCCATGATTCTTATTATTTGTCCCCACTGCCCAGCCTCAGTGACACCCTTGTCCCCTCTTGCTGGATCCATTCAGTGGACTGCTGACTGGACTTTTTGCCTCCCATTTCTCTTCTCTAGTTCACTTCCACAGTGCCACAGGAGATATCTTTCTAAAACAGCTTGGCTATACCATCAACCTGCGTAAAGACTCTTAGTTTATAGAGCCTTTAGTCTCCAAAGTGTTCAGGACTTTGGTGAAAGTTCTTAGCATGGTACATGCTATTCTGTGTCCAGAACAACCACTGGCAAATAAGGGGGTACTTAGTACATAGAAGCTGGGTGTATGACTGAAAAAACATGAACCCCAATGATAGGAAATACACTTGATGAGAGGCTGGATTTCAGGTGTATGGGGAGGAGGACCTGATGCTCAGATATGTGGTTTGTATGATTCTGTGGACTGCACTGGCTAGACAAGATGATTGACTTGGAAGGAAGAGGGTTGAGGATGGTAGATGGAGAGGACGAGTCTAGTTGAGGATTTGTTGAGGTGGAGATACTGGTGAGATATTCTTGAGGATTATCTAGTGGGCATTTGGAGAAACTGGGTGCATCTTCCTGGCTCTGGAGTCCAGTTGATGATGCTGTTAAAAACAATAGCAACTAGCATTTTTATGTTTCTCTTATGTGTCGGGTTCTTGGCAAGCCCATATCCCATCTAAACTTCATCTATGCTTTTAAGATAGCTATTATTATCACTGTTTTAGAAATGAAAATGCTGAGTCTTAGGGAGACTGAGCATATTAGCTAAAAATGTTTCTGTGCTATATTTGCCTAAGGTAACAGTAAATTTCTTGTCAGATCATGGCATCACTTGAAGTGAATGTTAATAGCCCAGAATTTCAAATCTTACTTGCAGTCAGAACCTCTAGGAAAAGATCCAGGAATCTTTTTTTTATTTGTTTTTTGTTTTTTGTTTTTTTGAGTCAGAGTCTTACTCTGTTGCCTAGGCTGGAGGGCAGTGACAGGCTCATGGCCACCACCTCGACCTGGGTTTAGGAGATCCTTCTGCCTCAGCCTTCCATGTAACTGGAACTACAGGTGTGCACCACCATGCCTGGCTAATGGAATCTGTGTTTTTAATATAGAGGTTAATTGATTCTTAAGTTTGGGCAGATCTGGGTATCTTAGTCTTAGTGCCACCTGTCTAGTTCCAGATCCACACTCTTAGCCTGTCTACGATAGGAGCAGGCATTTTGATCAGGGCCTGTATAATACTTTTATTTAACTCTTATCTTTGTGGTTTTGGAAAGATCCCATTTTATTAACAGGAGATTTAAAAAATAGCCTGCAGTCCTACCATGACAGTTGTTTTATTTGAGGTTTGGGGAAAGAAGTAAACTTTACATTTATTAAGTGTTTACTTGCAGTTCTCTAAGCAGTGAACATTATTATAATTTTATAGTGAGAAACGACCTCAGCTAAATTTCTCCAAAGCCATAGATTTGAGCCAAGGTTCAGACCCAGAATTGTCTAGCAGTAAAAATAGCTCACATTTATTTAGTGCCTCCTGTGTTACCAGGCTGTTACATGTATTAACTCATTTAATGCTTATAGCAATTCTGTAGAGGATGGTTCTATCATTATTCCTCCTTTATGGATCAGGCACTGAAGCACATGGAAATTAAGTTGCTCAATTTCACACAGTAAATGGTGGAGCCAGGCTATGAACCCAGGCATTCTGGCTCCGGCATCCACACCTCTTACTGCCCAGTGCTAACTTACTTGACTGATGTTCTTTTCACTTTTGTAAGAATCAGCATGAGGAACTGAGTTTTTAAAACATTAACAGATTCGTTACAGGTTTGTTAGTGCAAATTAGTACAAGACCTATAGGACACTGGTTTTGGTGTGCTTGGAGATGATCTTTTTATTTCCTTCTTTTTTAGTGCCTTCATGCAGGGTAGTACAAGAAGAGCGGGCATCATGACTGATGTCCACCGGCGATTCCTCCAGCTGATGATGACTCATGGTGTGCTGGAGGAATGGGACGTTAGGCGCTTGCAGAAGCACTGCTACAAGGTCCATGACCGTAAGTATTATGTCCGAGTTCCCAGGATACTTTGGTACTGTGTTGATAAGGGACCAGTGACATTGGGATAATACAGTTAACAAGTTAATGTACTGACAACCTGAGCATTCAAGTCTCTTTACAATTATACTAGCCCATCTTTCAAATCTCATCTTCTGCTTTTCTTTTTGTATTTCAAGTAAATCTGATGTTTAGCCCAGTGAGTAAAAACTTGGACTCCAAAGCTGTATAGTTGTGGCGCATACCAAAGCTTCAGCACCTGCTCCAACCTCAGTTTTCTTATCTGTAAAGCAGGGATAATAATTGTACTTCATTCATAAGTAAGCATATGGATCAGAGAATTAAGACACATAATGTATACAAAACACCTGGCACAGGGTACGCATTCAGTGGGCTATTAATAGTAACAGGGAGGCTTACCCTCAGCCAAACCTGGAGAGAGTACTTCCCTGGCCTGGGTCAGCTATAGGCATTTGGAGTCCTCTCCAAATTTGGGAGGAGCAAATGAAACAATACTTGGGAAATACTTGGAGACAGGGCCTGGTACATACCAGATTCTCAGTAATAAGTTAACGGTAGAAGCAGTAGGATCAGTGTTGATAGATCAGTTTAATCAGTATTGGCAAAACTTGTTGAGTTGTGTGTCAATATGGGTAGATCTTTTTTTTTTGAAGGTGAGAAAGCAGGATTTATAAAGCTCCCATAGTGGGAGGAGGCCCGAGGTGGTTACCCAATACAGGTAGATCTTATTGAGTAGATTTTACTGAGTGAAAATAAACTTAATAAGCTATACTTATTAAGTCACTGTTCTGTAAAGTAGAAAAAAGATTTTTATTGCTTATTTACATTTGCGTGTAAAGCAATACAAGGACTGGAAGGATGTGCAACACACTCATGAGGTACTTAACTTTGGGGAGACGAGGAGTGGGAGTGAGTTGCCATTAGAATTCAAAGGGCACTGCATTTTTATCCTGTTGTGTTTTTTTCTTCAAAAGACTTGAAGCAAACATGACATTATTAGCATACCAACTTGACATTATTAGCATAGTCTAATAGTTGTCACTTCTGAGTCATGGGGATTCAAGTGTTTGGTTTTTGTTCTGCATTTTTGTCTTTCTCTCTGTATTTTTAATTTTTAAAAGAAAAATGGAAAAAATGACACAGAGGTGAGCCTAGCCAAGAGGAATGAGAAGGGGATGAGGGTGGGGGCATGAAAAACACAGGTGAAGGGATGCAGGAAGGGTGCTGCCTTTAGAGCACTGCACTGTCTGCCATGTCTACCATGAAGAGAGTCAGAAGCCTGATCCCGGGAAGATTAGGGCAAAAGGGAGTAGGGAGGGAGAGACAGTGAGCACACAAACAAATATTCTTCCAAGATGTGCAAAAGATCCGAAGACTGGAGAGCCCAGAGAAGGAAGAAAAAAAAGATGTGCAAAGGAGGAAGAATGAAAATGTGGCACGTTAACTAGAGAAGAGGCAGAGTTGAAGCAGCTGGAGAGCAGCATCCGCTCAGGTGTGTTTCTCAGAGCACTGGTCCATTGAGGCAGTCTTGGGGCATTCTGGGAGCTTGGTGATGCAAGTTAGCCTATTTAACTAGGTTTAATTCTGTGTACCGAAACTTCATTGACCTACTAATAACCTGCCCTGGGAAATCTTAGACAAGAATATACTCTAGTGGTGTGAGGAAAGAGAATACGTTCTTTTGGTGTGTAGGCTTACAGATCATGAAGAATCCTGCATACCACAGTAGTGATTTTTTTACTTATTCCTGTGGACTGTGCAGACCTCTTGAAGTATTTGAAGCAGAGTGACATAATATGTGCTGTGTTTGAGAAAATAGATCTGCTGCCGTTGCCTGAACTGTGGTGGATAGGGATTGTTGGTGGACTCCTGTATTGAAAGGGAATGTAATACCTGTCAAGCTAGCTTTTCTTGCTCTTTACAAAGTACAAGAGGCCTTTGAACCTACCCCTCAGTGTCCTCCAGAGATGGGCATAAGAATGCCTGTCTTAATCTTTTATCTACATGGCGCTTTAGGCCTTCTCCCTTTTAATTTTTCCTCTGAGTCCTGAATGTGAGTGTCATTGTTGATGGGGAAGTTTCACAGCTCACTGCAAGGAGCTATATGACGCTTTAGTACTAAGAATGAAAGTATTTTTGCCTTCATTTGACCTTCAGAATTGTTGTGATCTAATTTAGGAAAGTCCTGTAGAATGTGTCTAGGAATTGATTTATTCTTCACACTTTATATATAATTTCCTTGCACCTAGGTAAGGTTATGGCTGGGGTGGGGTGGGGGGGGGAACACAGTATAACTATAGTCTGTTTTCTCCTAACCTTCTTAAAATAAAAACAAAAAACTTATTTCTGATCATTCTTGTTGTTAGGGAGATTTTAAAACAAGGAATAATGGAAATAAATTATCTAAAATTAAGCTAATACTTACAAGACCCAATATTATTTATTTATCTCCTATCTTTTGAAGAGATGGCCAGGAAAGTCCCCTTGCACCAACTAGAAAAATATTTAGCTTCTAAGGAAATTATGAAACAAAGGAGTAATTGAAACTGCAAGTTATTCTAATTGCCATTTTCCATGGTGTTCGTCTGATGTATCAAAGCAGTTCTTATTCTGGGCTTTTGTTTGGGCTCTCCTCTTACTGTCACTGAGGGGAAGCAAATTCCCCAGTTCTCCAGGCTAGTGAAGAGTTTAGATTTTGTTCTGAAGTCCTAGTGCAAAACTTGAGTCTAGCCTTTCAGAGTGATGCTGGAGACCTGGGTTCTTAGAGGACCTTAGATTTTGAGTCAGGGCTTATGTCCACACGTATTTCATCCAACAGAGCTTCCTGAGAATCTCATAGGAGCCAGGCCTCTGTGCTAGGGACTGGTTGTTTCATCTTGGCTCTCATGAGTCATACCCATAAGGAGTCAGATAATTCTATTATACAAGGGGGACCCAAAACGCCGGAATTTATTTATAAAAATTATGTATTCTTACAGGTTTAAACTTCAGTCACCTTCAAAGTACTCTCCATTTGATGCACTACAACTATTGAGAAACTTTTTCCACTGCCCAAAAGAGTTTTTGAACTCAAGTTTGATACCTTTTAGTGCTTCTGCTGTTTTTTGTTTCACTTCTTCCATATTGGCAAAACGTTTCCGTTTGAGGACTTTTTTCATCTAGGGAAAACAACAAAAAAAGTTGCTCAGTGTGAGATTGGTTGAATAGCGAGGGTGGAGCATGGGGGTCATGCCATTGGGTCAAAAACTGCTGAACACTCAGCACTGTGTAGGCAGGTTGCTCATGTAAATCACCTGTCATGAAATGGACAAACATGTTGAAAGAATCTCCAAAAAAAAAAAAATTCACTGAAGCTGAACGCAGCCTCTTACGGCACTACCTGGTACACTGATGTTGATGGATTCCTAGAACATTTAACTAGCGATAGAAGCTTGTACTACAAGAGACCCGCCCTCCAGAAAATAATTCCGCTATAAGCTCTCTTGGTCCCCATTGTAAACCCTCTTGGAAGACATAGGCACAGGAGGTCTAGGGAGTGGTGTTAAGTGAGGTTTGAAGTTTCTCACTTTTGGCTAAGATGAAGTAACAGGGATCGGTGTATGCCCTCCTACCTGTAACAGTCTAAAAATGGATAAAATATAAAATACTAGACATTACTCAGTGAAGGACAGTGATACCTTGAGACAAAGGCAATGAGAATTTTTTTTTCCTCTTAACTTTGAATGCATGGTACCTTTTCCAGTGCTACTTCTCTAGTTCTCCACATACCAGCTCAACAATTTATTTTTAATTTTTTAATTTTAATTTTTTTTTGAGTTGGAGTCTCACTCTGTCGCCCAGACTGGAGTGCCGTGGCCGCTCCCGGCCAACGCAGCCTCGACCTGCTGGGCTCCAGCGATCCTTCCG